CATTAACAGCTCTTTTCTGAGTAGGTGGGTGGCTCTGAAAAGAGCCTTTGGAGTCAAGCGCATGGCCACTCACAAGAGCACCACGTCCCGGAAGGGACTCACTTGGAGCTGGTGTACTTGGTGACGGCCTTGGTGCCCTCCGACACGGCGTGCTTGGCCAGCTCCCCGGGCAGCAGCAGGCGCACGGCCGTCTGGATCTCCCGGGACGTGATGGTCGAGCGCTTGTTGTAATGCGCCAGGCGGGACGCCTCGCCGGCGATGCGCTCGAAGATGTCGTTGACGAAGGAATTCATGATGCCCATGGCCTTAGACGAGATGCCGGTGTCGGGGTGCACCTGCTTCAGCACCTTGTACACATAGATGGAATAGCTCTCCTTACGACTGCGCTTGCGCTTCTTGCCATCCTTCTTCTGAGCTTTGGTGACCGCTTTCTTCGAGCCCTTCTTGGGCGCTGGAGCGGATTTCGCCGGTTCAGGCATTACTGAAGACGCAACACAGATCGGTAAAGAATAGAAATGAGATAATGGGCGGGCATGACCCTTTTATAACCACTGTATGCAAATTAGGACTCCAGAAAACTTTCGTTTCCATTGGGCCACGCAGGGACCTGCGTTTCCAGTAATAGCTACGTAAGGGCACCGACTCTTGACCCTATTGGTCATTTCTGGAGCCAATTTAGAACCAATGAAAAACTGGTTCCTAACCCCACCCCTAGGAAAGCTTATAAAGGCTTTCAAAGTGCTGCTCTTTCAGTTCTGCTTCGGTGTGCGACTCTGAGGTTTTGAAGTGCTAGCCTTGTTTTTAGTCATGTCTGGTCGAGGGAAGCAAGGAGGCAAAGCTCGCGCCAAGGCCAAGTCACGCTCGTCACGCGCTGGCCTCCAGTTCCCGGTGGGGCGAGTGCATCGTCTGCTGCGTAAAGGCAACTATGCCGAGCGAGTGGGGGCCGGCGCGCCCGTCTACATGGCGGCTGTGCTGGAGTACCTGACAGCGGAGATCCTAGAGCTGGCAGGTAACGCCGCCCGGGACAATAAGAAGACGCGCATCATTCCTCGTCATCTGCAACTGGCTATCCGCAACGACGAGGAGCTGAACAAGCTGTTGGGCAAAGTCACCATCGCCCAGGGCGGCGTCTTGCCCAACATTCAGGCAGTTCTATTACCAAAGAAGACCGAGAGCCACAAAGCTAAAAGCAAATAAAGCGTAAGGTAAACCAAAGACCAAAGGCTCTTTTTAGAGCCACCCAAGTTTTCAAAAAGAGAGCTAAGTGCACTACTGTGATCAGCCCTTATTTGACGCTCTGGTGGCTCTTAAAAGAGCCTTTGGGGTGAGGTGACCGTATAGCAACCCTTTAAATTACTTGTTCTTGCCAGGTTTGTGACTCTCCGTTTTCTTAGGCAACAAAACCGCCTGGATATTAGGCAAGACTCCTCCCTGGGCAATAGTGACACCCCCGAGTAACTTGTTGAGCTCTTCGTCATTTCTCACGGCTAGTTGCAAGTGCCGAGGGACGATGCGCGTCTTCTTGTTGTCTCGGGCGGCATTACCCGCTAGCTCCAGGATCTCCGCGGTCAGGTACTCCAGCACGGCCGCCAGGTACACCGGGGCGCCGGCCCCCACCCGCTCGGCGTAGTTGCCCTTGCGCAGTAAGCGGTGCACTCGCCCCACAGGAAACTGCAGGCCTGCGCGTGACGAGCGCGACTTGGCCTTGGCGCGAGCTTTGCCTCCTTGCTTTCCGCGTCCTGACATCACGGATAAAAAAGCAGTTTCAACTTGTTTTACAACAAGGATGTGTAAAGAACCCATTTGATGTAATTTATAAGAGCTACTGGGAGGGGTGAAGGGAGGTGGCTTGATTGGCTAAAAGCGAAGCCCTATCAAACAGCCAATAGGAAAGCAGAAGGCCGATTCCTCGTTTGCATCCGAAAATGAAGCATTTCGTAGGCATCTACCAATCGCTGGGAACCACATTAAAGCCCCTTATTTGCATTGACGGCATTTTAAAAGAGAGATTTTTGGAGTAATGCGCTGTTTTGCTCTGTTTTACCGAGTGGTACTTTTTTCCCGTTAAAGGTAGTAGTTTTCTTTTTTTCCCAGCTTAATAGAGCTGAGAGAGAAATCCCAAGAAGGAGCCGAAAGGACTGTGGAGGGCCTCCAGCAGATGCAGAGTTACTACCACTTAAGGTAAAGGCTTCTGGAGCCTATTATTCCTTGAGCCCTAAATTACCCTCCAAGACCCTCTCTCTCTGTCTCATTACAACCAAACTCCCCTAAAGAATATATACTATTGTACTAAGGCCGTCGTCTCCTTTTTCAATTTAGTAGCTGCCTGCGGTGTGGCTTCGCCCCACCCCTCACCCGCCTCCTGTCCGCGGAATCCGGAGTAACTGAGCGCTAAAAGATTTGTGTTCCTTCTGATTTCCGGGAGACGTCCAATACCGCCTTGAAACTTGCTCCCTTGGCTTTCAAAGTGTCCTCCGGCTTTGCGTATTCTGCTATTCCTCTGCCTATCTCTGAATAAACTGTGGGGACCGGGAGGGTTCCGGGAATGCTGTCCCGGGGAGTGGGCTGGGTTCCACGGGCCAGGTCGGGCTTCTTTTATCCCTGGGACCAAACCAGGGACTTTTCTTACCCATTGTGGAAGGAGAGTCTATGTTCGGGCCTGTGTGGGGAGGGAGGAGGGGGTCGTGCTCCGGCCGGGCGGAGCCTGGCGGACAGTAAATGGAAAAACCCTAACCCTAGCCCAGTTGCAAAAACAGGATGCGGTCAGGGCCAAAATAGTTTCTTTTTTTTTTTTTTGCAATAACGGCTTAGTCTCTCTTCTGTGTCCTGCCTCTGCTCAAGCTCTCAGAAATAGAGAAAGCATGCTCATACCGGCCAAGGCCCAGGGCCGTTCTCCTCTTGCAGAGTGAGGCGGACGCCAGGCTTGGCTCAGTAAAGCCTTCCGAACGAAACCTCTGTCTCTCGGGTCTTTCTTAACGAGCAAAGACTTAACAAAACGTGTCCGTTAGGCGCTGTCTCCCTCCTCGTCTCTTCCTCTCTTCACTCTTCCAGAAGAGTCTTACCCACTTCCATGTTTTCAACTAACAACCATATTTGTTTCAGAAGCTCAGACTGAGACAGCATAGGGACTTGGGCCCCGGGGGGCCCAAGGAATACCTGATGGCCAAGAGGAACAGATAAGCTGACCATAAGAATGCCTCCACCCCGTAACTCCCTATGCAAAAATGTAGAAGTAGCTGGTTTTATCTCCCTTCTAACGGCTGCTTTGCAGACATCGAAACCCCTGTCCCCCTGTTCCTGGGGTGGCGATAATGAGTAATCCTCTGTCTTGCCCCCACAGGGCAGGTGCCATCATAGTTACTAGGCAACTGCAGCTGAAAAAGGAAGTCACCCCAACCTGAAATAGAAGATTCCGGAAGCCTGCCTTTTTCAAAAAGACCATTTTGTCCCCAGCTTATGAAAGCAGCCAAGCAGAACCACCCCGAGTCAGTTCCGAGGACCTTCCTTTCCTCTGCTACCTTCCTTGTGCTCAAGCATAAGCTTAATAAAATTTATCTGGAAAATTTTCTGGGGTTTCCTCTCGATTTCTATCTTGGGGAACCCAACATGCCAACGCCAGTAACATTTTGTGGGGACTACGAAAGGACCCCTTAAGTCCCTATAGCAGCGACACAGGGCAGGAAGAAGAGTCGGCCTCATGGTACCTGATGAGCAGCTGCTGAAACCTTGTGAATCCGCCTCCAACTTTCCCAGCCCTCTCCTCCCCAAACAGATTTTATGTTCTGTCAAGTTCTGTTTGTCTTTGTGTCCACCTTCGCCTTACTGTAGAACTGAAATGGCCGATTTTGACTGCCCCGAGGGGCCAATCGGCAGATATACAGGTTACTTCCATCCGTCCCGAACCAGGTGTTTCAGTCCCAGTTAGAAGTTCGGGGTTAAAGTCCCTGGGGTTGAGTTCGAGTCCTACTGTAGTCATTTTCTGTTCTTATTTGGTAGGTCTCGGAGGAACTTTGCGGCAATTTGCGGGCACTGGTCCAGCAGTTAAGAGCCAATAGAGCACTCGCCACTTCAAGACTCCCGTGAAAGGGTAAGTCATGGAACTGTAGATTGGCAGTGGGCCCCCTGAGACCTAAAGCAAATGTCCCTGAAACTAGAGATACTGAAACTACTCACCACCCCCACCCTCCCCTGCAGCTAACCCATTTCAGGCTTTTGACCCCCTGAGAGACCTCTACCCTACTGTCTGACTAGTCCTTGTCCATCTTTCCTACTTTGGCGCCAGCCTGGCTACCTGTTGGGTTTCTGTCTTTGACCTAGGACCGGGAAGTCTGACCTTTTCTGTTGACTTGCTTTTGGGACCTGTGTCCCTATGAATTCTCATTGCTGTGTCTGTGAGTCCTAGTTCCCCGCAACCTGGAATTAAAACTGGTTTAACTAGGAAGATCTTTTACCCTCTTTGACTCAATCAAACATCTGACCCACTCTCATTCTATACAAATCAGAGGTGGATTAGAGATAAGCTGGACCTTGACCTGGTACAGTGTTGGAGACATTCATTGAGTATTTTCTACACAGGCCATGGTTCCCCAGTTGTCCTTGCTCTGATCTCCTCTTTCACTCTCCTCCTTCTTCTGTCTAGATCTCGCTTGCTCTCTTCTGGATTGGCTGATTGGGACCACAAGCACTTCTATTTCCTTAATGACGCCAGAAGTGGAACAGCCCATCCAGTTCTCGGCCCCCTGATCATTGGTCACCGACTCTATCATGGGAAACAACACTTCAGGCATCAAAAAAGATTCTCCCCTAGGATGCATCCTTGCTAATTGGAAACACTTTAAGTTATACAGTCTAAAGAAAAAGAAATTAATTTACTTTTGTAATGTGACCTGGCCCAAATATTCTCTTGGGGAGCAAGAAGAATGGCCTCAGAATGGTTCTTTAAATGGTAATACCATTGCCGAGCTGTACCTCTTTTGTCAACGCTCCAACAAATCGTTGGAAATTTTCTATGTTCTGCCTTTTGTGAAACTGCACGAGGACAAAAAGCACCAACGTTCTTGCCGTGTCTGTGTGGCCTCACTCTCAAAGAATCCTGACCCCATGGCCCCATCTGCTTCAGATTTCAAGCTCCTTGACCTTATTTTTGCCCCTCCTAATTTGGTTCCAAGGGCCTTCCTTGACTCTCTGCCTTCCAGTCACCCAGTCTCATTTGCTGAGCCTCTCCCACATGCCCCTGTTCCTAACCCCTCTGCCCACTCAGCTCCAAACCCTTCTCCCCCAGCTCTATCCTCCACTAGGACCAGATCTGGACTTAGACGACCTACAGAAACTCCTCGTCGTCGTCCCCCTCCCCCTCCCCCTCCTCCTCTTCCTCCTCTTCCTCCTCCTCCTCCTCCTCCTCCTCCTGCTCCTGCTCCTGCAGATAGTCCCTCCCCTGCAAATGGTTGTTTCCTCTTTCAAGAAGTTGCTGACAGAAGCAGGGAAATTGTTCGAGCCCATGAACCTTTTTCTGTCACCGACATGAGCCAATGCAAGGAGATACTTGGAAACTTCTCAGACGACCCCAATAGGTTTCAAGATGAAATTTTTAAACTTAGTTTAACTTCTTCTCTGACTTGGCAAGACATCCTGGACATTCTAACCCACTGTTGTACCCAGTATGAGAAGGCCCTTATTTGGGGGGAGGCCCAAGAATATGCTGATAGCCTAGTTGTCACTAACCCCCAACATGATGTGATCAGATTGGCAAGAGAGTCAATTCCAGACCAAAACCCTCAATGGGACTACAGGGATCGCCTTGGTAGGGCTAGGATGGAACATTTTATCACCTGTATATTAGAAGGCATAAAGAGGTGCCAAGTTAAGCAGGTAAATTACAAAAAAATTAAGGAGATCACCCAGGAGAAGGAGGAAAACCCCGCCCTTTTCCTCAACCGTCTTTCTGAAGCCATGAAAAAGTATACCAACATAGACCCTCAGTCAGTAGAAGGAAGGGTGTTATTGGCCGTGCACTTCAGGACGCAGGCTGCTCCAGATATTAAGAGAAAACTTGCAAACTTAGAAATCACACCCCACGTTCCACTGTCAACCTTGGTGAAGGAGGCCATCAAGGTATTTAATAATCGAGACCAGGCAAAGGAAGCAAAGAAAAAGAAGAAATTAAAAAATAAAATCAGACCACCGCCTCAAGATGACTGTAGACCTAGGAGATCAGCCCAAGATAAACGCCAAGGGTGGTCCGGGGTAGGGTGGAACCAATGTGCTTCTCATAAAAATGAAGGATACTGGAAACAAGACTGCCCAGAAAGGCACAAAAACAGGGAATGCCTTGATCACCCCAGGAAGCTGGGGCAGGTCAGTAACCCTAATCGGCCCTCTCTCCCAGCTAACCTCTCGCAAGAAGGGACAGCCTCTGAGAGGGGAGGCCGGATCGTTCACCCTGCTCTGACTCTTGACAACTCCATCACTATCACACCTGCAGAGCCTCGGGTCAGTCCCAATGTGGCAGGTATGAAAACTGGATTTTTACTAGATGCTGGCGCCGCCAACTCTGTCCTGACTCGGCTGGTTGGCCCACTCCCCAGTCGTGCATGCACGGTTAAGTGGATAGACGGGAAGCCTAAAGTAAGACAATCTACTTTTCCTCTTACCTGTGATACTGGATCTAAAACTATAGATCACTCTTTTCTTTGTGTACCTGAGTGCCCAGTTCCCCTCATTGGTAGAGACTTGATAATGAAATTAGGAGCTTCTGTATTTCTTCAGGAAGAAAATGGCCACATCTCAGAGCCATACCAAGGAATCTATTCATTGTACCTTCCAGAGGATATTAAAGCCCAAGTCAGGGCTACAGTGTGGGATACCAGTACCCCTGGGCGTGCCATAAATGTAGAACCTGTTAAAATAAAATTGAAACCAGGAGCAAAATGCCCGTGGCAGTGCCAACCACCGTTAAGTGCTAAGGTTCTGAGGGACATGGAGCCCCTTCTAGAGAAATTCCTTAAACATGGATTAATTAGACCTTGCCAATCTCCCTGCAATACTCCAGTCTTCCTGGTAAAGAAGCGCAATGGGGAACAGCTCTTCGTCCAAGATCTTCGAGCAGTTAACAAGATGGTAATCCCTATTCACCCAACAATCCCCAACTCCTATACACTCCTCACTCAGATTCCCAGGGAAACCCAGTACTATACTGTACTGGACTTGAAAGATCCTTTCTTCTGCATCCCCTTACATCCAGACTCCCAATATTTGTTTGCTTTTGAATGGAAAAGTCCCAAGACTTGTAAAGTTACCCAGTACACCTGGACGGTATTACCCCAGGGGTTCCGGGACAGCTCTCATCTCTTCAGAAATGCCCTTGCTAAGGAGCTCAGGGAGCTTAAACTTCAAAATGGAACATTGTTACAATATGTAAATAATTTACTCATCGCCAGTACCAACTATCAAGACTCCCAACACAATACTATAATGACCCTAAATTTTTTAGCCCTGCGGGGATATAAGGTATCCCACTCAAAGGCCCAGATTTCCCTACAAAAGGTCCGATACCTACAGTTTATCCTCACCCCAGGAGCCCAGTTGCTGGACCCAGATCGCAAAAGGGCAGTCACCTCGTTGCCAGTCCCTACCACCAAAAAAGAACTGCGCAGGTTCCTAGGGACAGCAGAATTTTGCCGAACCTGGATCCCGAATTTTGGGCTAATAGTAAAGCCCTTATATGCGGCTTTAAAGGGGAAAGAAAGAAAACTACTCTGGGATCAAATTTGTCAGCAGGCATTTGAGACTCTCAAGACTAAAATAGACCTCGCATCTGTACTAGGACTGCCAGACCTGAGGAAGCCGTTCTTCCTTTATATTCATGAAGAACAGGGAATCGCCTCAGGAGTCTTAACCCAAAAGCTGGGGCTGTCCCAAAAACCCATAGCTTACCTCTCGAAACAGTTAGATTCGGTGGCCCAGCGTTGGCCCGGCTGCGTAAGGGCGGTGGCTGCCACTGCTGTTTTAGTAAAGGAAGCCTTAAAGTTGACCTTAGGACAATGGCTTGAAGTTTTCACTCCCCATCAGGTGCAGACAGTATTAGACAATGGACATCACTGTCTAACAGAAACACGGATCTCAAAATACCGGGCTCTCCTCCTACATACCCCTGACCTCACTCTAAGGACTTGCCAGACTTTAAATCCTGAAACCCTTCTACCCAGTACAGAAGAGAGCATTCCTGCATGGAGACTCAAAACAGGTTTAATATAGCAGGCCAGATTTCCAGGATGTCCACTGAGAAGAGGCAGAGGAAAAATTCTTCACCAATGGGAGCAGCTTTATAGAAAAGGGCACCCAGAAAGCAGGACATGTTGTTCATTGCCAGCCTAGATAAAGTAATAGAGGCTAGTAATACCTGTGCACAGAAGGCAGGGCTAGTAGCCCTAATCAGGGCACTACAGTTAGGAAAGGATAAAAGACTCAACATTTACCTGACTCTAAATATGGGTTTCTAGTACTACATGCCCATGTAGCCTGGAAAGAGCAAGGAATGCTAACCACAAAAAATTCCCCCATAAAAACTTAAGGAGCTAATATTTCTCCTAGAAGCCGTCCAGCTTCCTTCCAAAATTGTGGCGATACACTCTAGGGGCCACCAGAGAGGTAGTTCTTAAATTAGTTTTATAGACCAGGCAGCTGCACAGTCCTTAACACCCAGAATCCTTGCCCCAACAATTGGACAGCCAGACCTCCCCTCTTACCCTAAATAGACTCCCACAAGGAGGCAAGCTGAGAAAGGGATATAGCCTAAATGAATCAGCGTGGCTAGTAGATGCCAACACAGGAGTACCTTCCCAGATGAGCACTGGCACAACCTGTAAATTAAATCACTCGCTCCCACCATTCCTAGCCACCCCTATCTAGGCCAGGCTAAATGGCTACACGATCTTAATAACGCCACTGCCCCAACTATATGGGACTCCATTAAGGGGTACCTACTGAATATCACTTGGCTCCTTCCTCTCCTAGGACCCCTGGAAGCTATTTTACTGTGATTACTTTTTGACCCTTGCCTCTTTAACCTCACAAAGGCTGCCTCTTCATGGCTACAACAATTCCACGTTAAGCGGATGGTCATACAAGCCTTCCAGCCCATCCCAGACAAGGAAGACCCCGGCCCTTATCACTCTAGGTCAGGTAGCAAGAGAATTTTATTCCTCCCAAGTATAGGAACAGTGGCCTTGTTCAGCAGGAAGTAGTTACAGAAGAGACCTCCAACCCTAATCCCTAAATGATACAAGCCAAACAAAAGAGCCCCCCTCGCCAGAGGAATTTTAAGTCTTTTTTCCTAGTTTCTTAGCTCCCTAGTCTCTTGTCCTAATCACTTTTTTTTCCTTTGTGGCAGCTTCTTTAGTTTTCATTTTTAAATTAGTTTCAGGTGTACAAAACAATGTAATAGACATTTCACCCCTCACAAAAGGATAACCCCCCTCCCCCCCTGCCTATCATTTTTTAAATCAGTTTCTTAATCTTAAAAGAGTGTTCCTAGCCTGAATCATAGGATGTCTCCTATCCCCTGCTTCAGATAATTACCCAGAAGCTTGTGACTTATGCTTGTTGATTGTAATCATTGAGGCCCAGTGTTCTTTCCAGGCCATTCTGGGCCCAGCTCCTGAGTGAACACCACCACCTGAATGATCAGTTTAACCAGGGGGAAAAGCCACAGGCCCCATGGAGCTGAACGGACTTTCCATCATGTAGTCACCCTGCGTCAGTAGCTTTGATTCCTGCTTCTTGGGCCAACGCTTTTAAATCTATTAACTAAAACCTATCTATCCTCATCTAAGGGCCATTGGTATACAAATGATGCCCCAGCAAGGCTTCCAGTATACCCCGACCAAGGAGGCCAACATGGTCTTCCAGGCGGATCTTGAGACCCCTCCCTCATCTAAGATCAGACAGGGCGAGAGTTCCGTGAATCCCCAGTAGGTAGGGACAACGACCACATTCAGCAGGAAGCAGATACAGAAGGAAAGACCGCCTGTCCCTCAACTTCCCATAGAGATTTATGGGGATCACGCCTCTCAGGGGGAAATAAGGCAGGCAGTTAGAGATAGGAATTGGGTCTTTGATATGCCCAAACACGTCAGTTAACATTCTAGCATGGCCTATGGAGAGCACCTGCCCAGAAGACCCCTCTGCCCAAACCTTTCCCTTACCTACTATAACCATCAACTACTATGAGGAAGCTAAGGGATACAAAATACCTAACTAGGTTAGACCAGTCACTCACACTTGTGCAGTAAAGGCTACAATGACCTTCATCTCACCTTAGCCCCATTATACCATCATAATATGCATATGCCCAGAAGTTCATTAATATCATAAACAGACTGAATTCTGGGAAGGAACATGTGCAGTCTAAGTGCCAATCAAGAGACCCCCCACACACACCCAGAGAGGAATAGCCCATTCTAGAGAAGGAAATAAAAACTCCCAAGTCCTCACCAGTTGGCACCCTTTGAGCCACTCTTGTTTGGGCCTGCTCCTTTTCCTTTGGAGTGTACTTTCACTTTTAATAAACTGCTCTTTCACCACTGCCTTTTGGTGTCCCATTGAATTCTTTGTTCAGGATGCCAAGAACCTGGACACTGAGCCTGCGCCCTGGTAACATTAAGAAGGAGGATAAAATCTCAGGGCAGAAATGAGACAGCATCAGTGACTTGGGCCCCTGGGCCCTTGCAGATATGGAAACCATTCCGCATGCGCAGTTGTCCAAGCTACAACCTTCCTGGGGTAGCGATTCTGAGCAATCTGCCATCTTACCCCCACAGCGCAGGCGCGAGCATACCAGGCAACTGCAACTGGAAAAAGAAGTCACCCCACCCTGAAGTGGGAGATTCCAGAAGCCTACCTTTTTTCAAAAAGACCACTTTGTCCCCAGCTTATAAAAGCAGCCAAGCTGGGCCAGTCCCAAGGACCTGCCTTTCCTCTGTGCTTCATCACCCTCTCTTAGACCAGCTGCAGTCCCTGCAGATTTGCTTGCATGATCCTCCACCTGCCTTCCATAGAAATCTTTCCTGAAAGTTCTGTGTCTTCCTCCTCAACTTCCCATCCCTGGGAATTGTACATCCCCCACATCATTTTCACCCTTTCTTGAGGATCCCATAAGGACAGGAGGTGGAATGCTTGGGAGTAAAGAATAGACTTAAATCCTATTCCTTGAATCCTTTTCTGATCACTTTTATCTTCGCCTTTATTCAACCAACATCTACAGAATACATGCTACCTATTAAGCAATGGGTATACCGATAACAGGCTAGTACAAAGTGAGCATCTAGTGAGATGCCTCTAGAAAGTGGAGGAAATCTCAATTCTGGAAGTTAAGTTAGTATCAGCCATCGTAGAGATTACCACTGGTAAGAATGCTGGTATAGATTTGTGAAACACCCAAGTCCAATGTGATGGGAGTATTTCCGCAATAGTAGAAGATAACTAAAGATCTAACCCGATCAAGTTGTCATTTCAGAAGATGCATGTATTAATAGAAAGATTTACACATTTTTATAAACAGCAATGACAGAAGTGTATGTTAGATACAAAGGCTTGGGCTATTATGGAAGGGCCCCTAGTTGTGAAAACAGCCTTTTCTGACAGCTGGGTGAAATATTTCTGAACACTAATTCTAAGCTCAGATTCTGTGCTCAATTAACAACTTTCCCACTATTCCATTTCAAGATAAAAATATGAGACTGAGAAGGGCAGAGCCACTTATGGGAGGAGATATCTATCACCAGAAGTTAATGAATTTGCATTCTGGACTATTCATAAATTTGTTGTGTGTTTTGTTAGTGTGAGTCTCTCCCCAGGAAGTCAGTCAACTCTTGAGGTTCTGATCATGTCAAATTTTCAGATGTACGGGGTCTGAGAGCCCAGATAGTTTGAACCCCACAATTCTGGCACCCTGAAAGGCCACTTTGAGAGACAAGCTGACCTCCCCCTCTCTTTGAGATCTGATCGGTTTTGTATTATTTTTAATGACCAGGTGCTGTTAGAAGTGAAAGGAAAAGAGATTATACTAAACTTCCTATGTGATAAATCCTATGCTAGGGGCTACCTAGGAAGAAGATAACAATTTTTTGTTTGAGAGAGATGGAAACCAAGGCTCAGGAGTTAAGACTTGCCGAAAGTCACAGAGCCACTTACTAAGACATGATTAGAACCCAGGTCTGCCTGAACCAAAGACTGCTCTTCACCACTTCATTCACACTGTTTCGCTAACTAGATGGGGTTTTTTATGAAGCTACTTTCTTCCTCTGTTGAGAGAAAGAGAGAGAGAATAATGAGACAATACCTTAGATTCCATCCAGCTATAAAACCTTATTAGATAAGTCTAGATAGGCCAATATCCTTCAAATTATCCCAGGCTCAATTAGTATTGCTCTCCAGAGCGCCTTCCCTAACACTCTTATCAGAGCTATTAAAATATAAAATGGCAGGCCATTTATAAAAGCAGTACACCATCACAGGCAAACAGGTTGGATCTTACTTCCTTAACACCTCTGGGATTTTTAACCAAAGGCAACTAACTTCTTTCCCAGGCAACCTAGTTAATCAAACATTTATTTTGCATTCTAGCTCCATCCCACCATTCAACCATAGTCCTCTCCCTTACCCTTTCCCTCCACCTCTCCCCAACACCTCCTCCATATTGAACTGCTCACCATTCATGAGATGAACAAGGTCTTTCCACAGCTCTCTGCCATTGCACATACAGTTGCTCAGGCTAGAATGCTTCATCTTCCTGTTGACATGCAAAACCCTCCTCAAACCCTCCTCATCCTTCCAGTTTCAGCCCAGATGATCACCTCTTCCTTTACGAGGCCTTCTCTCCTCCCAAACACACAGCCTCAATGTGTCCACATCTCTGTTCACATCCTGGTGATAGCACTACTCTATCCTGTGCTTTGACCTTGGTCTCACTTCCTTTCTGTGACCACCTCAAGGGAGAGACCATGTCTTCTTCATCTTTGAATCAAGAGTCCTTAATTCCTTCTACCTGACTGTCAATAGGGTAGTTACATGTTTGGGGCATGAATAAATGAAACAACACTCTTAGAGAATTAGTGTCATCTTTTCTAAAATATCTCTCTTTAGTCAACAGCCACTCTCCAAATGCCAACTATGGAAGATATAATAGGAGCTTGTCAATGAAATAAAAAAATACTATACCCTACCATAATAGAGTTGTTAGAATAAATGAGAATTAAGTGCAAAGAACTTACTGCAGAGCCTGGAACCTGAGAGGCTCAGTCCTGGAATGGGAGGCAGACTAGGTAAGTGGTTAAGATCCCAAATTTTACAGCCTGACTCTCTGGGTTTGTTTACTGGATCTGTACCATGGGCAAATTACCTAACCTCAAAGGGTCTCTGCTTCCTCAGTGGTAAAGCAGAGTAATAATGATAGCTACTTTGTGGGACTGTTAGAAGAGTTTGTAAATGTAAAACATTTAGAACAGTACCTGGCACCAAGAAAGCAGAGGCATCCTAAAAATTCTTTGAATTACTTTAAACATTGGGTGTATCCTAGTAATTCCACTCCTGGATATACACCAAACAGAAACAAATGTTTCCATCCAATAAAAAGCATGTACAAGAATGTAGTATATTCACGTAACTGCACTATTACACAACGAAAATGAAAAAATTACTACCACACTCATGGGTGAATCTCACAATGTTGAACAAAAGAAAATAAATGAATTCATACCATGTGATTCTATTTATATGAAGTTCAAAAATGGACCAAAATAGTAACCTATGGTGATGGAGGTTAGAATCACGTTTACTCTGGCAGAATGGTACTGACTTCCTGGGGACCTTCCACGGTGCTGGAAATTTTCTGTATTAATATCTTGATATGGGTGTATTTACATGTAAAATTAAGTGGTACGCTTAAGATTTATAAATTTCTCATTTGTAAATTATACATCAATAAATGGAAATTATTTTTTTAATGAACAAATAATGAAGTAATCATTGTGTGTGGGGGGGATGCCCAACAAAATACTGATTTTGTTGGGCATCCCAATCCTTATGTTACAGATTAGTGTTTATTATTGTTTGTTTTGTTTTAATTACACATGAGGTGGCCACCATGATCTCTCTGTGCTTAAAACCTCTAAAAAGTCTTAACCTGGCCATGACAAACCTTCACTAAATCGTAGATATTATTATGACTGTTTTTATTAGAAACAAAAAAACCCCACTAAACTTGCTCTTGCAAAGCCTTTATCTATTTTGTGCAACAGGAACAATAACGATGTCAGCCCTCTATTCATACATCAGTTCACTTATCCATCCAATGCGTTTTATTAAACACCCAAGTATGCCAACACTGAGCTTGGCATAAATCTAGAATGTAGTGAATACATTCCCTCTGCCTAGATCTCTTTCCACACGGTTAGTTCCCTGTAATCATGCCAATCCCTGTTTAAATGTCCCCTACACAGCAAAGCCTTCTCTGACCTCAGCGTCTCACCATTCATTCCCTACCACCGTCACTAGATCATCAAATTGCAAGGCTCTGACCAAAAACAAGTCCTGTCAATTCCATCTCTTTAACAGCGTTCTAACTGATTTACTGCTCTCTAGCCCATCTGCCTTCACTCACATTTTTTCACAGACTACTGCTGCCAAAGGTGAACTCGTCTCTGCTTCCGCTCTTCCAATCTCTCTCTCTAATACATTCTTCACATACTAGTCAGAGTGAGCATCTAATAAAATCTGATTCTTTTCTCACCATACCCTCTGCCCAGGCGATTTCACCCCCTTTACCCACTTCCCCTCCCACCCATCTCCAATGAGCTCAGTTATCTTCAATAACTCCTACTTCAAATACACTTCTGAGGTGCTAAAATTAGTAGACAAAAGCTTTATGAGAAACAGGATATTACAAAGACTCAAAGTATCTCCCACAATTACAAACGGAAAAAGAATTTTACAATGGAGAAACCTGAGAGATACCACTTTAATATGTAATCAGGATTAACACTAGTGATAGGACAAATCAAGTCACATGCCCCCTGGTATGGCTCACTTCTGCAGTATTCCTGCCACAAATGCATGTCCTAAGTCCAAATCTTAGAAAGACATTAGACAAACCCAAATTGAGGGACTCGCTACAAAATAAATTGTCTGTACTCTTCAAAAATGTCAAGGTCATGAAACACAAAGAAAGACTAAGCAAATATTCCAGATTAATGGAGACCAAAGAGACATAACAACTGAATGCAACATGTGACCCTACCTTGGATCCTGGACCACAAAGTTATTTTCATTTTATGTAAATGACATTAGTGGGACAATTGGCAGCTTTTGAGTAAGATCTGTAGATAATAGTACTGTGTCAATGTTAACTTCCATAGTTTCACGATTATATTGTGGTATGTGAGAAAATGTCTTTTTTAATCTAAATGCACATTAGTAAGTATATATTAAATTTCTCCAGGGGGGGGGAATTTCTCCAGAGAATAGGATATATATGAAAGGAGAAAAATTTATTGTAAGGAATTGGTTCACATGATTATAGAGGCTGACAAGTCCCTAGTTCTGTAGGGTGAGTCAGCAAGCCGGAACCCAGGAGAGCTGATGGTGTAGTTCCAGTCTGAAGGCTGGCAGGCTGGAGACCCAGGAAGAGCCAATGTCTCAGCACAAAGTCAAACAGGCAGGAAAGAACTCTCCTGGGGATGGTCAGCCCTGTGTCCTATTCAGGCCTTCCACCGATTGGATGAGGCCCACCCACGTTAAGGAGGGCAATCTGCTGTATACAGTCTATTACTTAGATGTTAACCCCACCCACATTAGGGAGGGCAATCTGCTTTACACAGTCTATTATTTAGATGCTAACTTCATCCAAAACACCCTCACAGAAACACCAAGAATAATGTTTGAACACCCTGTAGCCCAGCCAAGTTGATACATAAAATTGATGTTAACATCTGGGTATCAGGGTGAAGGATATACTATTGTAAACCCCATGAAAACAGGGTCTGCTTTATTCCCCAGCCAGCAGGACTGGCCTGGCGCACAATAATTATGTATTCAATAACAAGACTTCCATTTTCTTGTAAGAAATGTTTGAATGCTTGAATATTTGGCTTGTATGTATAGACTTAATTTTCTTCATGTAAAAAATGAAGGAGCTGGGCTAGATGACCTACAAGACCTATTGGCAATAAACTGTATCGAATAATCCCAATCCCAATTGCGCAAGGATTCTCGGTTTTTGTTCGTGTGTGCGTGGCTTTTTTGTTTGTTGCATTTCTCTGCTTCCGAAAACGACCTCGCGAATCTGAGACTCAGAGACTACAATTCCCGTGAGCCCTCGGGGCATCACGTAACGCCTGTCCAGTCTACTGTCACGTAGAGAGAACTCCATTTCCCAGCGTGCCTCAGGACGCGAGAGCCGCATTTCGCCAAAAACGTCAGGAGTCGCGTCCCTGAGCGGAAACTGCGGTAGCCAAGGCTGAGCCGAAGGTATTAGAGAGGGCCCCCCCCCAAAATGCCCGGAGTTGCACATACCTCCTTTTGCAGCCTCCAGCCCGTTTTTTGCTAATCCCCTTATTAACGAACATGCCTTGCGCGCAGGCCCTGTCTAATCTCCCGTCTCCCCTCCGCTGTCGGCGGCTGGAGGCCAAATTTCCCTAACGTCACACAGAGGAAAGGGGCGGGGCCTCGGGTCTGGCTGTCTGGCGTCTAGTCTCGCTCCCCGCGGCTGCCGAGTGTGGACGTTGGCGGGTTCGGGTGGGAAGGCTGTGAGATTGGGCTCTCATCAGGCGGTAGGCCCAGGCCCTCACTGCTTTGGTCCTTGTCTCTGCGGTAGCCGATGCTGAGTGGGCAGCTGGTCGGACGCCTGTTCTCCATGGCCGGCCGCGTCTGTCTGTCCCGGGGCAGCGCGGGATCGGGGACCATCGGTCCTGTTGAGGCCGCCATTCGCACGAAGTTGGAGCAGGCCCTGAACCCCGAGGTGCTGGAGCTGCGTAACGAGAGCGGCGGCCACGCGGTCCCACCAGGCAGTGAGACGCATTTCCGCGTGGCGGTGGTGAGCTCTCGCTTTGAGGGCCTGAGCCCCCTGCAGCGGCACCGGCTGGTCCACGCTGCGCTGTCCGAAGAGCTGGCCGGGCCGGTCCACGCGCTGGCCATACAGGCGCGGACCCCTGCCCAGTGGAGGGAGAACCCTCAACTGGACGCGAGCCCCCCCTGCCTGGGTGGGAGCAAGAAAACTCGAGGAACCCCCTGAACCCCCCAAAAAACGAGGGCGGGGATCCGAATGGGTTGGCTGAGAGTTAAACCAGTGGGGCCTTTTTCCCTTCATTACAGTCAGGTACTGGTAAGGGATGAGGACCGCTGGGCCCCATTCAACCTGCACATAACATTTCTCTGGAGATAGCAACTCTTTCAGATCAGAGCTAACCCAAGGAAAGAGAGTCACACTCCTGCTCTTGCCCTGGACTATTCAGGAAAAGCTGCCCAGTTGTTTCGTGTTAAATTGTGACGTAAGGAACCACCAGATCTGATGAGTTGGAAATAATCCTGTACATTAAAAGATAAATTATCATATGAGGTGCTTCGCTGTGTTATTCATGGCCTGTTGAATCAGTGCCACAGATGTTTGTGGGAGAAGAAAGATACCTGTAGCCTAGGGTAGTCAGGAAGGACTTCATGGGGGAAGTGACCTAGTTGGATCTTGAAAGCACAGAATTAAACCAGAAAGAAGAGGAAAGGTGTCACAGGCAAGAAGAGCCCCCACAAAGGAATAGAAACTAGACTGGGCAGTGACTGGACAAGATGGGTTGTAGACACATTTGAATTTCGTTCGTACTGGGGGAATGTTTGGCTTCTAACAGTGTCCATTTTCAAAAGGATTTGCATTTGTTTGTAAGAAAAATCTTTTGGGGGGCGGGTGGGTGGCTCAGTTGGTTACAGCACGTGCTCAGAACAACAGGGCTGCCGGTTTGATTCCCACATGGGCCAGTGAGCTGTGTCCTCCGCAACTAGATCGGAGACAACGATTTGCCCACGAGCTGGGTTGCTGGTGGGTGGCCGGATGTCTCAGTTGGTTAGAGCAAGGGCTCTGAACAACAAGGTTGCCAGTTCCATTCCTGCATGGGATGGTGGGCTGCTCCCCCCTCCCCCCACCCCCACAACTAGATTGAAAATGGCGACTGGACTTGGACCTGAGCTGCGCCCTCCACAACTAGATTGAAACAACTTGACTTGGAGCTGATGGGCCTAGAAAAACACTGTTTCCAAAATTAAAAAAAAAAATCTTTGGGGGTAGAAAAACAACACTAAAACAGTGCAACGATGAGAACCCAGAAAATGAGTGCAGAAGATAGAGACAACTTTATGTAGGCCTTTTTTCTTTCAAGTCTTCCAAATGTTAATATTTCTGAGGAGAGCTCAAGAAATGTCTAAATAAGCAAATTTCTTATAACCTCAGTGTAGAAATAGAACTTAAATACTAAAGGAAAAGCTTGATTAACATGTATCTTAACCATTTCTTGCTAAAGAGTTTAGACAGTTGGGTAGTAGGGAGTCACTGAAGAGTTTTGAGGAGGGGCATGCCAAAGAGCACTGTGGGGCAGATTGATCTGGCAGTGATGTGTAAGTGGGTTGGCATAGGAGATTGGAGGCACAGAGATGTACCAAGAGTGAAGGTGGAACCCTGACTTAGAGATCAGCTGTGGGAATGGAAAGGAAGTGGATCTGAGAGCTGCCATTGAAAGTCGGAAAGTGGCTTGATTAAAACAGAGATGGACTAGAGTGAAAAGAGTTGAGGGTAACCCCTAAGTAGTGGTTTTCAGGTTTCCTCACAGATAAGAATTCCCAAAGGAGCTTGTTTAAAATGTGGATTCTAGGTCCCCTCTCTTCCAAAACCAGGATTCTGATTCCACAAGAATGGAATCTTGAATCTGTATCTTTAAGACACACAAGATTTGGAGAAAATTGGTCCTATTCTCAAGAACTTGAACATGACTCCAATTTTTTGTTTTCATTTTGGGGAGGGGGAGTTAAATATTTTAAAATTTATTTTTGTTAATTTTATTTTGTGGCAAAGAACTCTTAAAATGAGATAACTTGCTAACAAATTTTAAGCGTACCATACATTATCATTGACTATAGATACAATGCCGTACAACAGATCTCTAGAGCTTATTCATCTTGTTTAACTGAAACTTTCTGCCTGTTGATTAGTAAGTCCTCATTTCCTTCTCCCTCCAGCCTCTGGCAACCACCATTCCACTCTTTGATTACATGAATTTGACTATATTGGATAACTCATAAGTGCAATCAATGCAGTATTTGTCTTTCTGTGAATGCCTTATTTGACTTAGTATAATATCCTTGTGGTTCATCCATATTGTCATGTTTTGTAGGATTTCCTTTTTTAAGGCTGAATAGTATTCCATGATATGTATATAACACATTTTCTTTCTTTATTTCTCTGTCAATGGACATTTAGCTTGTTTCCATATCTTTGCTGCTGTAAATAGCGCCACAATGAACATGGAGGTCCTACTGTCTCTTCAAGATGCTGATTTAAATTCTTTTGGTTAAGTACCCAGAAGTGGGATTGCTGGATCATACAGTTCTATTTTTAATTTTTTGAGGAACTTCCATATTCTTTTCAATAGCAGCTGCACTATTTTGCATCCCCACCAATGATGTGCAAAGATTCCAATTTCCCCACATTTTTGCCAATACTTTTTGTCTTTTGGGGTGTGTTTTTTGTTTTTGTTTTTTTTGGTAATTGCCATCTGGTAGGTATGAGGCGATATCTTGTGGTTTTGATTTGCATTTCCCTAATGAATAGGGAGCATTTTTTCGTATACCTGTTGGCCATTTGTATGTCTTTGGAGAAATTCCAATCCTTAGCCCATTTTTAAAATCAGGTTATCAGTTTTTTTGCTATTGAGTTCGAGGACGTTACCCCAAGTCTTCAAATCTGGGAGACGGAGAGGGCCTTCCATCTGTAGAAGTGGACAGGTCAGAATAGTGAGGCCAATTAAGGAAGTAAATGTGATACCTCATGTTATTCTGGCCTTCAGTCTGGAGAGGTGTTGTTTTTCCATCTCATCACCTTCCCCTCTCAACAGGAAGAACAGAGTTGGGTGTAGGTGGCAAGGCAAAGAAGCAGACGCCATTTTGGATTTTAAGGATTTGTTTCCTGTTTATTTTTCATCAATATTTTTCATTTCATTTTTCACATCAACAGAGTTGGGTTTAGGGTTCCCCAGGAGAGCAAGGGAGATGGATGGTCCCTCCAGGGGGTGCAGGGGAGAGGGCTGCATCCAGCAAGAGAAGGGTGAGGAAAGGGCACACACATACACTGGGCACTGGAGAAGGCAGTCCTTTGAGCAGACACCAAAGAGTTAAACAGTCACCACCTGGTTCAGTGTTACAAAATGGAGGGTGTGACCAAAGGGTGGCGGCACCAGACGCAGCAGTGAGGAAGGTGAATTTGGGTTTTCTTTTTTGTTGTTTTCACTTTTTTCCTTTTAACTTGTAACACTTTACAAACAGCTAAAAACTACAACACATCACAGCTACAGTTGTGGGGAGGGGGACACCAAAGAAAGCAGCCATACGGATAGGGTGGGACAGGGGCAGCTTAACCGACAGGGGCTATTGTGTGGAAAGGGTGAGATGGGGCAACTGAGGCTCTGGTCCCTGCACGAGGGTCCCTGGCTTACTACCCAACCTCTTCCCACTCTAGAGGAGTTGCTGGGAGGGCCCCTGCCCCAGCTCCTTGTGCTTTTGGATCTGCTGGTTTGCCCATATGCCTGGTTTCTTTCCCTCCCCTGCCCCCTTGCCTGTGAGGGGACAGGCTGGGGGTGGGAGGGCAGCTGTGCTGTCACTGTCTGTGCTCTAGTGGGTGGAGCCTCTCACCACAGAGAAGGCTGTGCTTCTTGAGAGGAGAGGAGATGCCCTCAGATCTCACTAGCCTGTGGGACTCTTACCCCAGCCGGGCGGGCCTAGGGCTCCTTCCTCCCAGGCCTGGCACAGAAACAAGATTAGGGGAGGTACCACGGGAGGCAGGGTTGTGTGTGTCCACTGACATTACCCTTAGCTTGTATTTTAGGACAGTATAGTGACACCCCCACCCCATGGCACATACACACACATACATAAGTGTACACACACAGTCACACACCCACACAGTCCTGCTGAGCTGCCTCAGAACTTAACATATAAATAATTAAGAATCAGAAAGCTAATTTCATAAAATTCAGGCTTCTTACTTAAGCCCAAATGGAGGGGAAGTGGAGGCCAGGGGGCTGGGGTTTATTGCTACTCCCCCAGCATCCAACAGGAGGTGTGAGAGGGTACCCGAGGCCCTTCCGACTCCAAGTGAAAGTTCTTTTGGTCCATGGTCTACACCAAGCCCCAGTCCCCAGCATAACCACAAGCCCGTGGTCTCACCAGGGCCTAGGCAGAGAGAATGAGGTGGAGGCAGGAACCTGTTCTGGGGCCCTGGAGCCGGGAAGAGCAAGGGCCCCTCACTAACAGGGGGGGAGAGGGTGGGGCCAAGCCTTCTCTTGTGCAAAGTCAAGGGTGGTAGGAGGTGGGGAGTAGAGCTGCATCCCAAAACTGGGATGACGGAGCTTTCCCTGTCGTCCCTGCCCACAGGGTCATATACATGCGTGCGCGCACGCACGCACACACACGCACACACATGGCTAAGACACCAAACAGGGGTATGGGGAGTTGAGGGTTCTGGGGGCCAGGATGGCAGGGCAGGGAGAGGGGAGAAGGAGTTGTTGGTCTCACAGTGTGCCTGCCACCCCGAAGCCCCAGAGACCCCCTCACTGCAGCACCTGCCCCCGGGTCTCGGGCAGCTTCAGGGCCAGAGAACTACCGAGGGCGAGGGCAGCTGAGGCAAAGAGGATGGGAGCAGCCTTGGTGATACCCACAAAGGACGTGAAGATGCTGATCCCCAGCACCGCTGCCAGCTTACACAGGGCATTCAGGAAGCCGAAGGCTGTGGTCCTGTTCGGGGGTCCCCCAGTGCAGCACGGATGGGCCAGGCAAGGGGGGAAACAAAGAAAGGCATGGGACGGTTTGTGGGGGAAGGGCGGGTATGGGGAAGTGAAGGAGAGATGGCAGGCATTGTCCGAGAGGGATAGGAAGGACAGGTCAGAGGGGAGGGATGCACATCAGGGAATACAGAGAAATCGGGAGGCCAGGGGGAAAGGAGACCGAAAGGTTAATAGTTAAGACTGCAAGGAGTGAATACCAAAGCTACCAGCTCTTAGAGGAGAAACTCAATGGGACTGTGTATACATTAACCCCTAAAGATGCTTTTCCCGCAGCCCCGCTCCCTCATCCCACTTCTCCCCTCTCCTCTAGAGTCTACACCCTCAACCTGCTGCCGTGCCCCCACCACACTCCAACTACCTCTTGTCCGAGGGGTAGAGTTCGACCGTCAACACGTCCAGCGCGTTCCAGGATGCAATGCTGACCCCCCCAAAAAGGCAGAGCAGAGCGATCATGGCTGACTCACTGTTCCCAAAAGACAGGAAGAAGCAGGAGACACAGGACATCACGCTGGAGCCAGC